AACATGGGTCGAGGCTACCCTCCTAGCCGCGGCCGTGGTGGGTACCCGCAAGGACACTACAACCCACAAATGGCAAACCACTCGCCACAGCCATACCGCTCCATGCCTCAACAAATGGGTCGCGGTATGACCCCGCCATTTCAGCCTCCAGGCCAGATGGCACAGCGTTCTCCATACACGCAGAACCGCAGCCCCGCTATGACGCCCGCTACCATGCATACGCAACAGCAGTTTGCCAATCCACAGGGCATGCCATATTACCAATCACAGCCCTATGCTCAGCAGGTGTGTATATCCCCTACCATGTTTACCCCAAATGATTTTCTCTGTTTTTCTGGCTTCCAGCCCAATTATCTTCTATTGAATCAAATGTCTCCACATTTTTTATTTTCTCATACCGTTGGTCAGCGAATGACGAAGAGCCTTTTTTTTCAAACACTCTGTCAATGTTGCCCAACAATTTTTCTCGCTTTTTTCCCGACCCCTCCATCTGTTTTTTTTTAAAAACCCGCCACACCAAACTCTTTCCTAATTTTTATATTAATATAGGCCATGTACGGTATGCCACAACCTGGCCTTGATCCATACAACAACTTCTACCCTCAAGGTCAGGGCTACGGACTACAGCAGTCCATCCATTATCCAGGTGTCCCCGCCAGTCCCGGTCGTGGCCACGCCTTCCCTCCGCAAATGCAGCCGGCTCCTTACGGTGTTCCACCTTACGGCCACCAACCCCAGGCTCAGAGCATGTCCCGTACGCCTTCTAACATGTCGGAGCGCCCATCGTCTGCTGTTCCACAGCCATCTACTCCTGCGATGACCAACGTCAATCACATCTCGCACACACACACGCCCAGCATGGGATCGGCAAGCCCAGCACCCACCACAAGCTTCGAGCGTCCAAAGAGGCAAAGCAAGGCGATAGTTATCAAGACTGCCGACGGTGAGGTTGTCGATTTCAACAAGGGCAAGGGCTCATCACCCGCCCCATCTGCCACCGCAGCTGCCCCACCCGCTGCTCCCAGGTCACCAGCCATTGCCGCCACCCCCACTCCTCCTCGCGCACCAAGCGCCTCCGATACCACTCGCGCTGAAGACACTGCCGCTAAAAAGGCCGACTTTGTCAAGCAATTCCAAGAGAAGCTCCGTCTCCAGGAAGAAGCTGAGAAGAAGGCCAAGGAGGCGAGTGAAGATGAGGCCAAGGCTGAGGCCAGCGCTAAGCAAGCTGCTAAGGAAGAGGCAGAGGCTAAGGCTGCCCTCGAGGCTAAGCAGAAGGAGGAAGCTGAGGCTGCCAAGAAGGCTGAGCTGGACGCAGAAGAAAAGAAGCGCAAGGAAGACGAAGAGATGGAGCGCATGATTGCCGAAATGGAGGAAGAAGAGAGGAAGCGTGAAGAGGACGAGAAGCGCTATGCTGAAGAGAAGAGGAAGAAGGCCGAGGCTGAAAAGGCCAATGCTGCTGAGAAGATCAAGCAAGAGGAAGAGCGCCTTCGCAAGCTCGAGCGTGAGGCCGAAGAGGCCGAGGCAGCTCGTGCAGCAGAGACTCCAGAACAAAAGGCCGAACGCGAGGCCAAGGACAAGGAGCTCTTCGCAAGCCTCAAGAAGAACACCATGTTTGGTCCTGGTGCCTCGCAGACTGAGGAACCAGCAGAGCCCGCTCCTGTGGTTGCTCCTGCGCCCTCCAAGACACCAACTGGCACAAAGCCTAAGCCAGCTGCTCTCAAGCTTGAGACTAACAAGTCTGTTGAGCCCGCTCAGCCAACTGCTGGTATGCAAGCACTCAAGACTGCACGCTTCCTCGAAGTCCGCAACGAGATTCAATACCCGCAAGGTGTTTCAAGCCCTAACCCGGCTCTGAACAACAGCAACCGCAGCAAGGGCCGCCAGTACGACAAGGACTTTTTGCTCCAGTTCCAAGATGTCTTCAAGGAGAAGCCTTCTGTTGACTGGGATATGAAGTTGAAGGAGACTGTTGGTGATGAGCCTGCTTCGGCTCGCGGTCCTCCATCGGCTCGCCCTGGCTCCATGATCGGCGGCGGACGACAGCCTTCTCGCGGCGCCGGCGGCGGTGGTGGTGGCATGGGCACATTTGGCCAAGGCGGCTCATTGGGAGGCCGAACACTCCCACCAGGTACGACATCCGAACAGCGTTTCCAGCAAGCCCAAGGTGGACGTGGCTCTATGACGAACCCTCTTGCTCATGTCGTTCTAGGTGGTGGACGTGGTGGCGCATTCCCTATGGCACCCCCGATGGTTCGTACCAGCTCGTACCAGAGCATGCCCCATGGACCCAACTCTCCTCGTGTTGGAAGCTCTCGTGGTAAGGGAGGCGGTAGCCGCCGCGGTGGTAACAACAACGCTGCTGCAGACGCCAAGGCCATGCCTCTTACTGCCGGTCAGGAGGTTAAGGCCCTCCAACGCTCGCAAACTGGATGGGTTCCCCAATCGATTGTTGCGCCCGCAGCAGCCGCGCCGCCTTCAGGCCACATGCCTCCTGACATGGTCCAGCGTAAGGTCAAGGCTGCTCTCAACAAGATGACACCCGACAAGTTCGACAAGATTTCAGACCAGATTCTCGAGATTGCTGGGCAATCCAAGGATGAGACTGACGGCCGCACGCTCCGCCAAGTCATTCAGCTCACGTTCGAAAAGGCGTGTGACGAAAGTCACTGGTCTTCCATGTACGCCAAGTTCTGCAGTCGCATGCTGCAGACCATGAGCACAGAAATCAAGGACGAGAACGTCCGAGATAAGCATGGCAACCCTGTTGTTGGCGGTGCTCTCTTCCGAAAGTACCTTCTCAACCGCTGTCAGGAAGAGTTCGAGCGTGGCTGGGAAGTCAACCTTCCCGACGCTCCCGAGGACGGCAAAGAGGCCAAGCTGCTTTCAGACGAGTACTACGTTGCCGCTGCTGCTAAGCGTAAGGGTCTCGGTTTGATCCAGTTTATCGGAGAGCTGTACAAGCTCGGCATGTTGACGCTACGAATCATGCACGAGTGTGTCTTGAAGCTTCTTGACTTTGAAGGCCTCCCTGATGAAGCCGCCATTGAGAGTTTGGTCAAGCTGCTCCGCACTGTTGGTGCCACCATGGAGTCTGCCGAGGCTGGCCCCAAGATGATCAACATGTACTTTGAGCGTATCGAGAAGGTCATGAACATGGAGGGTCTTCCTTCGCGTATGCACTTCATGTTGCTCGACACGGTTGATCTGCGCAAGGCTGGATGGAAGTCCAAGGACAACCTCAAGGGCCCCAAGACTATTGCCGAGATTCATCAAGAGGCCATGGCCGCTCAGCAGGCTGCCGAGATGGAGCGCACACGTTCGAACCAGCGTGGTGGTGGTGGCCGTCTCCCAATGGGCCGTGGCGATGCCCGCTCATTCTCTGGCGCCGGCATGCAGCCACCGCCCGACACTGGCAGCCGTGTACAGATGGATGACCTCCGCAAACTTTCCAAGGGCGCCTCTGGTCGCAACCTCAACAACGCCGGAGCACTTGGTCCGTCTATGCTTGGCAGCCGCAGCGGTAGCGGCCGTCGTGGTCTCGGCCCCAGCATGATGGGTCGTGGTGGTGACGACTCTGGAGCTTCTTCGCGCACTGGCACTCCACCCGTGCAGAAGGAGAAGGACTCGAATGCCCATGCAAATGCTTTTAGGTAAGTTCCCATATCGTTCAACATGTAAAAATATGTACTAACATCATGACAGTGCGCTAGCAGCCCTTAGCAACGAAGATGCCGGCGAGGCAGCCTCTTCGTCGCAAGCTCCAGAAGACAACTCTGCTGAGGCAGAGGCCAAGTCATCCGAGTGATTACCTTTCTTCGTTCAGGCGCGTGACGGTTATACCCCTAGACCATGCCGCACGCGGTAATCTAATCGCTTGTTTCGTTGCATAGACGGGGGGCATGTCAGCGCGCATTGTTCTGCATTTTGCAGGGTTTCCTTACTACAGCTTTTCAAGACTGGTGGATTCCAAAAGTTTCCTTGTTGTCGAGCGCTAGGTCGTTTCCAGACGGGTTTGGGTTCTCAATCTCTCACGGGTGACCTTCAAAAAGCTTCGACTTTCTCTTTACGCATGTTTATCACGGCACTACCAAACACGACGGCGTTCCGGATATAAAGAGGGAAGGTGGCCCAAATTGTACGCTTTTCATAAGCGTCATGGGTGGTATCCTGGGGCTCTGATTTTGCACCCCCGTTTTCCTCAAACTCATTATCTTTTTCTGTCACGATGGGCAGGGTTGGACAGGTAGAAGGGATGTCGTTTTCTCCTGTCAATGTCTCTCTTCGATTTTCGCGACCTCGATGTACTTTTCTTCTTTCTTCTTCTCCTCATTTTCACTTTTTTGCAAAAGAAGAGTGGGTAGCTTTATGGTGCGGTGCAGCCGACGATAGCAGACGTTGCTTAGGCATGCAACCTGCGAACCAAAAATGACTTGGGTCACGAGAAGCAGGATTTCACATGGTTGAACAAAAGGCTAGCATGGAATGACGGAGGATGAAAACTGCTGTGTATTATTCTCGCTTGCTCTAGTTAGAATGCATTTGTTCTATTCACAGGTTGTGTCTATTGTGTTGATCGTGATGAATGTGGTTGTCGCTGTGTTGAAGGTATTCAACTTTCCACCTGCAGTCAAATCCAAACTGGGCCCAGGGGGAGGGGGGGGGCTATCTGCTCTGTGCAAGCAAAGTGACGTTGTGATTTGATTACGACGTAAAGAATATAGATGAGGTAACATGCTGAGGGACGGGAGAAGGGCGGGGGCAAAGACGTACAGGGACAAGGAAGGAGGAGGAGCAAGAGGTTACGTCATACCAACTAAACATGAGATCAACCTTGTCTTGCAACGGTACATATAAGTCGTGATCGCTGCCCGAAATCCATATTCTTCCTATACAAACATCCTGAACTCTAGATGATTTTTTTTTTACAACACAAATAACAAGGAAGATTGAATATACGCGACTTTCGAAAAAAAGCTACACTTTTTTTACATGAGATCGATATGGCTGAGCAGAATGAACAGCAGCAGAAAGGTACGTTTTGAAGTAGCGATGGGATAAGGAGTTGGTTTGGGAGGGAGAGAGGGAGAGAAGCTGATAGATGATGTATAGGCTTCTTTGGAACGGCAGCGAGTGGACTGGGTACGTAACTGTGTCGCTTTCTCTCATCTCCCCCGTCCTCTGCCAAAGTGCGCCATCTTAACAACGGACAGGAAACACGCTCGGCACCGCAACCAATACCGTCGGAAAGGGCGTCCAGGGCATAACGGATACAACTGGGAATGTAGTTGCGGCTGGTGGGAAGGGGTTGGGGGATGCGGTGACGGGGGTTACGACGGGAGTTGGGGAGACGACTAAAGGTATGTTTGCCTGTTGTGGGATGAAAAGCTGATGTTGAGTTTGGAGTAGCGGCGGGGAAGTTTGTTGGGGATACGACGGGAGCTGGGGCGAGGAGTGTGCAAGGTGAGAAGAAGTAAGGGAGGTGTTGGCGTCCAGGAAGTATCAAGGTGGGAATCTTGACTCGAATGTCAAACTCAGGAAAGGAAGAGATCGGTAGACTTAAGTATCTACTTATGAAGGCAGAAGAAGTACGCTTCTTTAGTCAGTAAAAGAGAAGATCCGAAGCCCAGTCGTGTCTAGGGGATAATATCACAAGCTATTCCACAGCTCAAAGGCGAAATGCATGCGTCCAAGTATCACACAAGGTACTCAAGCACACCAGTATCGCACACACACATATATATATACCCCCGGATCGGCTTTCCCACCCCCTCCCATCACCACGACATCACACCCCAAACTCGCCCTTCAACCCCAACCTAAGCAAATCCCTCTCCAAAATCTCCTCCTTGCGCCCCATCAAATCCTCGACATCCCAATTCACACTAACCACCCTCCCACTCAACCACCTCGCCTTCGCCTGACACGCCCACACCGCCATCCCGCCCACCAACTCGGCACTATCATTCGTGAACAAGGAGCGAAACGGCTCGCGCAGCATATCCGTCGCCACAAGCCCCGGATGCATGCTTATAGCCGTGACGTTGGGATACTCGGCGGCCACGTAGCCGGCGAGGGCGTCGACGGCGAATTTACTGGTGAAGTAGCCGCTGAGAAGGGGCACGGTGAAGAAGGATTGCCACGAGGTGAGGGAGAGGATTGTGAAGTGGGAAGAGGGGGACGAGGGGGGTAGGAGGGAGAGGAAGGAGCGGGTTAGGAGGTAGGTGCCTTTTGCATTTACTTCCTGGGGATTATTAGGAGGGAGTTGTGTTTGAATGATGGGGGTTTGTGGATGGGTTTGGAAAAGAGAGGGGGGGGGGAGACGTACAAAGTTCTTCCACCATTCGTCGACGTTTGTCTCGTGGAGTTTGGGTCCGTCGCCGGTTAGGACGCCGGCGGCGTTGATGAGGATGTCTGCGTGGCCGAAGCGCTGTTTGATATTTTCGAAAGCTGTTGCGACAGCTTGCGAGTCTGAGATATTGACGGCGCAGGTTAGTGTTTCGATTGCTGGGTTTGCTTCTTTGACAGAGGCTTCGACGGTGGAGAGTTTGGTGGCGTTGGAGGCAAGGAGGACCATGCCTTTGACTTTGGCTTTGATGAATGCTGGTACCATTGCCTTTTTTTGTTTGAAGATGGGTGTTAGTTTCGAGCATGGGGTACGATATCTTCATGGGTGTGTTTTTGGACGTACTGTAGCTCCAATACCGCGTGAGGCCCCAGTGATGATAACGACTTTGCCTGCTAAGCTGTGCTCTGGGAGGCTTGGATCAATCGCTGGATACACATCTTGATGCGTACGTTTGGTGAATTGCATTGCTTTGACATAATAGTCTTTTGGGAGGTCGCTTAGATTTGGTGCCATATTTGGATATCGAAATCGGATTGTACGGTATAGATAGAGTTGTAAGAACTCAGCAGAGCAATATAAAATCTATCAAACGTTTTTTCTGAGATCACCCTGCCTTTAAAATGATCTTTGATCATCGCCTCCTCTAACAACTCCACCTGTCGGACAGGGATGCAACCGCTGATCTTGCATGTCCCAGATTGCATCCTGCATTCTGTTTGCGATAGCTGCCTCGGCATGTACCGCATACAGTGCTGTGCCGCGTCGAGCAAATGCCCGTTTAAGGAGCCGGCAGGTAGGATGCTGGTTCTGTCCTGTTGGGCGTTAGTGCAGGTGGATCCTTGCGTGGTTACAGAACTCGAGATGGCGCAGGTGGCCTAATGTTTTCAAAGATCTACTTGCGCGTTTTGACTCAGCTGCAAGTCGTTTATCCGGAGATATCATATTTTCATCTTGTGTTGGCGTGAAAAGTAAGCAGCAGTCGGGTATATTTCAATCCTATCGAATCTAGACATAGCTATTCCACTCTGTACCAAGAATGCAAAATATACGAGGTTGCAAGAACCACAAAAGCTTCACAAATGTCGAACATTCCACCACACGAGCAAAAAATTCCTCACAAGCATACGCATGCAGCGCAACTAATATATTCTTCCACACCGCGCACAAGCCCCAAAGGCCGGACGCGTCACTTCTTGTAAATAAACATTTAGATACCCAGAGTGAACTCAACACCAACGTCGATATCACGTGCCATCTTGACAACCTTTGAGAACTGGACGGACTTCTCAGCCGCACCCTGGAGATCATCGATGGAGAAAATCTTAAGACCAGAGTCGTTGATCTATTAAAAAATCAAGTTAGCAAAAAACATCCATCTCAAAGCGTGACTTGTGAAACTTACCAGCTTCTGTGCAGCCTCCATGTTGGTACCCTGCAACCTAGCAATAACAGGAGTCTTGAGGTTCATTTCCTGGACAACCTGGATGAGACCCTTGGCAATGGCGTCACAGCGGACGATACCACCAAAGATGTTGACAAAAATGGCAGTGACCTTGGGGTCGCTGGTGATGAGTTCGAAAGCTTGCCTGATGGCCTCCGGGGTAGCACCGCCACCGACATCCAAGAAGTTAGCGGGCGCGCCACCGTTGAGCTTGATAATGTCCATGGTAGCCATGGCCAGACCGGCACCGTTTACGAGGCAACCAATGTCACCGTCGAGTTTGATGAAGTTAAGACCAACCTTGGCGGCCTTGACCTCGTCGGGGTCTTCCTGGGTAATGTCCCTCCAGTCAAAGACCTCCTTCTGACGGAAATCGGCGTTGTCGTCAAAGTTGAGCTTGGCGTCCATGGCGAGGACCTGGTGGTCGGTAGTCTCAGAGAGGGGGTTGATTTCGATCTGGGTAGCGTCCTTCTCCATGAAAACCTTGTACAGCTTCTGGATGGTGTCCTTGGCATCCTCGATGCACTGCTCTGAGAAACCAAGCTCGGTCGCAATGTTGCGCGCCACTTCGTCGGTGACGCCCTTGTGGATGTCAATGGGGGTGGTGATGATGGCCTCGGGGTGCTCCTTTGCGACGGTCTCGATGTCCATACCACCCTGTGACGAAGCGACAATGACGGGGCCTTGGGAAGCGCGGTCCATGAGGATGGCGAGGTAGAACTCACGGCGAGCAAACTTGCGGTCGACAATGAAGACAGAGTTGCAGAGCCGGCCGGCGGCTCCGGTTTGCTTGGTGATGAGCTTGTGGCCGATCATCTGCTCGGCAAGGATGGCTGCTTCGCGAGGACTGCATACTGTGTTAGAGAATCGACCACAGTGTTGCAATGGAATGAGGTAGCATACGAGTAGACAACCCTGACACCGCCCTTGAAGCCGTTGTCAAAGGTTCCCTTTCCACGGCCTCCGGCAAGAACCTGGGCCTTGATGACGGCGTCCTCTCCGCCTGCACACATTAGCCCCAGAACCAAAGTGCCCCTCTACTCTTGCTGGCGCATACCAATGTCCTGGGCAATCTTCTCAGCCTCAGCGCCGCTGGTAGCGACGCCGCCCTTGGGCACGCCAATGCCATACTGGGGTTCGTGTTAGATATCCAGGCCCGCCAAATAGTGGGATATTTCAGCGGAGCACTCGTACCGATTCGAGCAGGGCTGCGGACCTGTATTCGTGGATGGCGAGGCCTCTCCTTTGTTGGATGACTGAGCGCTTCAGTGGTGTCTCCTGGCATTGGTTAGCACTGCATGCTCGTTGGTGGGCGGGCGCCAGGTGTGCAAGAGCCTTTTGCAGCTCGTGGGATAAGCCATTGAGTGTGTACATACAGCAGCAGCGCGAACAGCGCGAGCCAGCGGCCGGGCGCGGGCAAGGTTGTACATGATGTCTGAAATCGCAGACACACGTTTGGGTATATGGGCGGGGGGGTTTAGAGGGAGGGAAAGCTCTTGATGCACAGCTCCGTTTGATGTTGGCTGCTTCACAGGGCTGTTGCGGACGTCTGCTAGCGTGCCGAGAATGAACCGGGTTCTCAAAAATATCGCGGCCGGGAACTTGGTCGTATTGAGCACCAAAATCTCAAGCGCCCCTGGATAAGTCCGCGCCGGAAATGTCAAAGAGAAATAATGAGGGCGATGTCATCGCCAATCGGATAAGTCTTCTTGAAGCAAAGGGACAGAAGCTGTTGGCCTCGCTTTACGGGTCGAGGCCAGACTGGGACACGCGGGACAATGCTGCGACACCTCAGGATGAGGATGATCAGGATCTCAAACAAAACTACGCCTATGACAGGTGACGCTCCACACCTCTGTCTTTTTACAACTGCGCATGCTAATATTCATGTTCAGAATTGGTCTTGGCGGTATACTTCCAAAGGATGTTGAGAATGGCAGCTTCACCAAGAGAACACTAACATCAGACGACAAACTGCTGCAGCAGTTGATCGGCAAGAAAAAAGCCAAGGCTCATATCATGGCGAAACAGGAAGCTGCAAGGCCGAGTGCAGCGACCAAAACTCATCAATACAGCAAACCTGCTGTTGCGAAGAAGGAGGTGTCTGATGATGAAGAGGATGGGAGGGCTGCTACTTTCAAGTCAAAGAGAGGTGACAGGAAGGCGAAGAAGCCGCCCATATTGCCGGATAGTGACGACGAAGATGAAGAAATGAGAGCAAAGAGGCTAGCGGCAGGCATGAAAGCCGAAAACCAGGAGACAAAAGAGCCTACCACAGAGGCTCCGGTCGAGGATAAGTCATCCGAAAAAGTGAAAGAGGAGGAAGAAGCCGAGCCTGCACAACCAGCTCCCAAGAAAGTAAAAATTAAACCGAAGAGCTTCTTGGATGAGATTCTGGCAGAGCGCTCCAAGAAGAAGAGCAAAAAGAGCAAAGCCTAATGCATCACTCTCATGCATGCAAATGGCGTTATAAACCATAGTCGTTTGATACCCCAATCATTGATTTAATTTTTTTTTCCTGACATACCCTATTCCCGTACAATCAAGCTGGCCATACCCATTCCCGTGCCTATGCATTTGCTCAGCACACCCACTTGCTCCCCGCTTCTGCCCATCTCATGCAGGAGTGTGGCAAGCATCCTGCCGCTCGTTGCGCCTAGTGGGTGACCTAGTGCAATGGCACCTCCATTAGGATTGACCTTGTCCATCTTGTTCTCAAGTCCCAGCTTTCTTATGCAGTACAGCGCCTGACTTGCAAAAGCTTCGTTGATCTCCCAAACATTGACGTCTGATGTCTGGAGGCCCGTGTAGTCGAGGAGCTTGGGGATAGCAAGAGCTGGTCCAACGCCCATTTCATCAGGTGTGCAACCGACAACTTGTGTACCAGCCCACTTTCCAATGATTTGCTTTTCCAAACCGAGAGCCGTGGCTGTCGATCGGCGCATCATAAGCGCTGCACTCGCTCCGTCCGAAACTTGACTGCTGTTGCCTGCTGTGCTTGTACCGTTCTTGTCAAATGCCGGCTTCATGGTCGCCAGTTTCTCCACCGTGGTCCCTGGTCGAATTCCATCATCCTTGGTGACAGTCACCTGCTTTTGGTTTTCCAGAACCTCCGGCTCAATCCATCTGGTAGTAACCGGAACGATCTCATCGTCAAACAATCCGTTCGTTTGTGCCTTCGCAGCCCTGTTTTGCGATTCCGCAGCGAAAGCATCTTGGTCAGCGCGAGTGACGCCATATCGACTCGCCACATTCTCAGATGTAATTCCCATGCTCATGATGCAGTCTCGCGCATCTTTGACCGGGCTGTCCTTCATCTCTGGCCAGAGTTCTGTGGGTATAGCTCTGCTGCCATAGTTGCGCGTCATGCTCTCCATACCTCCTCCAATACCAATGTCGATTTGACCAACAGCTATGGAGTTTGCAATTGACGTTATGGCAGATAGGCCTGATGCGCAGGCGCGGTTTACGGTACTGAAGGAAGTCGTTGTGGGGATGCCAACATGGTTTGCGGCCATGCGACCGGCTTTGGAGCCACCAAGCTCGGCGAGCACGGTGCCCACGCAGACATCGTCTATTTTCGCTGGGTCAAGGTTTGGGAATTTGTTGATGGTGGCTTTGAGAACCTGTCTATCCGTTAGTTCCTAACAGGTTGTGTACAGGATAATTGAGGGTGTTGTACCGCTCCTAAGAGTTCATGGTCATATGCATCGCGCAGACCTCCCTTTTTAGCTCTTGTTACCGGGGTTCGGAGGGCCGAGAGGAAGACGACATCATGTGGATTCTTCTGGAGAATGTTCTTGAGACCCTTTTGCACGAAAGCCATGATGGCAAGATGACTTGTAATGAACCGCTGGAGATGGCGATTGTAGGGTATCAAGATAAAGGAAACAACAATGCAAAAAGACACAAGAATCCAGGCCAAGTAGAAGAAGCTGGACTATTGCCGAGTGAAGAAGCCATGGTTATAGTAGTATGCAAGCTAACCCCAGGCCCGAGGGATTGCGTGGAGCTTCGGCAAGTGACCGCGGAGAAGTTGCGGCAAAGGTCTTTTCCGGCTCACGTGCGACAGCGGACCGCATCGAAAAGGCTGGGGAACACTGCAATGCGTCACGACGAGTGTTGGCCACGAGATCGCTGCAGAACGATATCGCCCAACACGTTAGTATATCTAGTCTATCTAAACAAAGGATAATGATTTGCGGTCACGCCCTTGGAATGATGTAACCATAACCATTGGAATGTTTTTTTTATTTCATTTGTAATTCGCATTGTCGTCTGCCAAATCCATCGAGATTCCAAAGAGATCCTCTGTCTGTTTCCACACCCTCAAGCTTTATGCAGCATTCTACACTTTTCCCAAGCTTCAACAGCGGGAACCAATCCACCGAGCGCAGTTAGCTGCCTATGCAGCGGGGTATACCAGACGGAAAACATCGTTGAGAACAAACCAGCTGCCGTTGTCGTTCTTAAGCTGGAATGCCTGGGTGAAGCTCATTGGCTTTGCTTCGCCCCCAATCTGTCAAAAGTCAGTAGAAGCTTTGTGTTATTCACAAGATCTACTCACCATGAGCGCGCCGGTAACAAGAACCATGATGCCATCTTCGGCGGAAGGCTGAGCATCAACGGTATCTGTGCGATGTTGTATCTGCTCGAATGGCAAGTTCTTGCAAGAGTTAGCTTTGCCTTTCCTTGCCGGGTAGAGTTGTTGTTACCTGGAGCTTCTCTACAATCGCGGCAGATCCCTGGGTTGGCGTTTGCTCAAAGGTGAGCATAGAGGGCTCTCTCTGTGAATCTTGTGAGCCGGATGTCGTTGCACGCGCTTAGATCGGATCGCATACGTAGAGGGAAGCAAGACCGGCACGGTTTTTATCGAAGGTCTCGTAATAGAACTGGACAAACTGCTCTGGCGCAAGGGTCAATCCCGGTCTGACTGGAGGAACGCAAGAGACAAAATCGATGGGTGTCAGTCTGCCTCAAGTGACGGGCGGTACATACGGGCGATGGCGTTGAAGTCGGCTGTACAAAGTCAGTCTCAGTCGTTTCGGACGTTCCACGCTCAAGAGCGGAAATGCATAGCTACACAGCAGCAGAGAGCCGGTGACCAAGCGCAGGCCAACCAGTATCCATACAAAACACTGTTGCACTTTATGAGGAGACGGCTCGATACCTGCTGCCAAAGGCGCATCGAGGCAGGGTCGATGGCGGGGTAGAAGCGGCAGACTTACACATGACTGCGAGCTTTTGAGAGCTACGGTTTTCGGATCGAGAGGGTGATTGAGTTTTCGACAGATGCTCTGGTACGCGACGGCGGTGGAGGAGTGATTTGGCAATGTCACAAAGGCGTGTTGGGAGCTTTTGCTGTCACAGCCCGCGTTCGCTGGGCTTCGGTGGTGGGGCAAGCCCTGCCTAATCTTGGAAGCCGTCGGCCCGACGTTTCGCCGAGCCTTCTATTTTCTTCGAAGCTCTGCATCGCGTTCCCTTCTCCCTTCATCGCTGGTCAACGCCCAACAACGTCGTCCTTGAAGCAGGACAACGTGGGTATTGATGTAGCGAGATAGTTCACAGGTAAGCACTTTCAATTCCCCTCACATTCTTGCATTATGATGATCATCATCAAACGATAACTTCCGAGTCAACGACGGTGAAGTCTAAAAACAAGATCAAGCTCAACAGGCTGATTTGCTCATTTACAACCCACATTGTTCATTATCAAGTCGAATGGTGTGCTAACATGCCATCGTTTAGTTCGAGATACGTACGACCAACACCGACGTGCTCATACAGATGCACAACGTATATAGTCCACGTAGCCAATCGAAGACGCTTTCAACAACTCCCACCTGACCTCCCAAGCAATATTTCTAATTTATAACCCCTTTTTCTGGAATGACTTGACAGTATCGACTATAGATTGCTCAAAAGTCTTGTACTTCAAGCCAAGGACGTCAATAGACCTCTTGTTGTTGAATTTGTACAATCCCTTGTCGGGGGCACCCTCAGGGTAGTCGCCGCCGGGCGTTGAGTCGCTGGGTAAGTCTTTGAACTCTGGAAAGTTCTTCTTGATGATCTGGCACATTTCCTTGTTGGAAAAGTATCCAGCTATGACAAAGAAGCGCTTGTTGGCCGCCTCGGGCTTCTCTATCGCGGCCACGTGTGCCTCTGCAACATCACGTACGTCTACCCAGAAGTGCACGCCGGAAATGGGAATTTCGTCCTTGAATTTGCCTTGGACGGCGGCGAGGATGCGCTGGTTGGATGTGTTCATGTTGTCGAGGCTTTCGAGAGGGTGTACCTTGATCATTGTCAACGATGCCATGCGAACAACGCAGTTTTCGTGGACTTACGATTGGGCCGTACACCATTGGCGGATTGATGGTAGAGAGTGTGAAGTTGGGCTTCTCCTTTTCTACAAATTCCCAGGCTGCCTTCTCTGCAAAGGTCTTACTTGCTCGGTATCCTGCGACTGCGTCTTTGAGTGCATCTTCTAGCGTCATGGGATTCCAGTCCTCCTCTGAGTATTCGTGTCCTGGCCAAAAGCCTTTGGACGGATGCACAATAGCGGCAAAAGACGATGTGATGACGACTTGCTTTACTGTTGGCGCATTCTTCTTGATGGACTTCAAGATGCCCGTGGTTCCAATGACGGCGGGGTCGAGTAAATCCTGTCTTGTTAGCGAGTCGTTCAACACTGGGGAAGAAGGATAGTATGTACTCACTTTCTGGACATCGGTAACATTGAAGTGGAACGGGCTGGCAGTGTGGAGTACAGCCTCGAATGGAGGGTCTGAAACGACGGCCTGGTCAAAAGCATCCGGTTGTGCGATATCCGGAACAATGGCAAAGTCCAGCTGGCCTTTTTCAACATGGCTTTTGTACGACTCTTTGATCTTATCTGCCTTGTCTTGCGTGCGCACAGTCGTCACAACGCTGTGGCCGTGGTCAAGCAAGACATCAAGGGTGTGTGCGGCAATGAAGCCGCTGCCTCCTGTCAATAGAACTCGCGTCATTTCGATAGTATGCAAGGAATTGGTGCGATTGGGTCAGTAGGTGTCCAGATGTTAATTCACAGGTCGAGCGTTGTGGCAGCATGTGTATCTATGTATTATGTAGCTCTTATACTTTAGCTAGCGCGGGGCAGTATCGTCCCGAATGTCGCGATTACATAGCAGGTCTAGTCCCCTTATCGGCTGCAATGGCGGCGTCACGGCTGATAAAGTCGTGCTGTCAGTCTGAGTGATGGTGGTGCCATTGCGTCATCAGCGATGCGACACTTTTGGTGGGGCATACTGCGTCTTGGTGTCACCCTCCCGGGGTACTGCGAACAACTGCTGGTCGGCAGCTTCACGCCGTTTGGGTTTCCCAAACGGACTGTGAATTTCCCAGTAGACCCCGCAGCAAAGCCAGATTCTCATGGTTAGGTGGTCAGGACTGCCCCTGTGAGTATTTGTTCCGGAGTAGACGATGCGCGCCGGCAAAGCAGACGTTGAGACCGGGAGCTGGACAGAGGCTTGATTTGCAGTCAGCGTTGCGACCGGGCCGGTATAGAGTTTCTGTCAGGCTGATTGAGTGGGCATGGAAGTATGTATAAGCGTATCCAGACTCGTCGTGTGGAACATCAGTCGGCGGTCGAAGGCACACTGCCCGTACGGGGCGCCATTAACTCCGGGCCCTGCCTTCCTCATCATATCGGCAAAGGGCCCCACCTGCAACTTGAGATGCCTCCCACATAGCCCCCTTCCCCGCCCGCCACTTCATCTCGCCCTTCCAATCCGACCAGCATTCACTGTGCTAGGTGAGACTTAGCTTCGTTTCGCCAACGCTAAATCGGGTATGCTTGCGCTGCCACAGGATCCAGTCATTCTCCATGAGCGTCGAATGCAGGTCCCCCATGCGGGGCAAACCGACAAGATGAGGGGCCATTTTTTCACCAGGCACCTGCTGCCTTCTCATCTCTTGCTCTCTTCTATACCTACACTGTCAAACCAAACATGACATCCCTCAAGAGAAGCCCACCTTTCCGCGCTGAGCACGTCGGCTCATTGCTCCGTCCCCAGGAGCTTGTGCAAAAGCGTTACGATGTCGCCTCAGGCAAAGCTCAACCAGACGAGCTTGTGCCTCTGGAAGACAAGTCTGTTGCAGAGGTGGTCAAATTTCAGCAGGATTGCGGACTCAAGGTCGTCTCGAGCGGCGAGTATACCAGGTCAGTAGTTTTGCATAAAGTCAGTCTAGACCTGGCCTGACTCTAGAACCAGGCATATGTTCTGGGGTACCTTTTTTGAAACCCTTCACGGCATGAAAGAGCTACAGCTTGGCGTCCTCAAGGGCTACAACAAGGATATGTTTCGCGCTTATGCGCCGGACGTCAAGTCGTTTATGGAAGCAAAGGAAGTACCCAACCACGTCACTGTTTGCGTCGACAAGATTAGACACCCTGGAAAATCAAGCAACCAACGAGAAGTTGATTTGATGAAGAGCCTCCTTCCAGAAAGCGAATGGAAAAACATCAAAATCACTCTCATCTCGCCATCCTGGTACCATTTCCGTTACATGAATGGCTCAGCCTATCCGAAGGAGGTGTACGCGAATGACGAGGAATATTTTGCCGATGTTGCCAAGGCGTATCAAGAAGAGCTCAAGATTCTTCATTCGCAGGGAATCAGGAATATCCAGATTGACGACCCCAATCTTGCTTATTTCTGCTCCGACGATATGTTGGCAGGCTGGAAAGCGGACAAGACAAACAGCAAGACGGCCGACGAGATGTTCGACTCGTATGTCAAGTTCTACAATAAGTGCTTCGAGCGGCCCGCGGACATGCATCTCGGCATCCACTTGTGCCGCGGCAACTACGTCGGAAGCCGACATTTCAGTGAAGGCGCATATGACCTTATCGCAAAGAAGCTCTTCCAGGTACTGCAGTATCCACAATAGGTGGCACGGGTATACTAACCGAGTCAGGATCTTGACGTTGACACTTATTATCTTGAGTACGACACACCACGCGCCGGAGGCTTTGAGCCGCTAGAGCACCTTCCAAAAGGCAAGAATGTTGTCCTAGGCGTCATCACCTCCAAGTTTCCTAAGCTTGAAGACAAGGACGAGATGATTGCCAGAGTCAACCAGGCTGCGGATTGGATTGCAAAGGGCACTGGTCAGTCACACGAGGACGCGCTCAAACAGTGCTGCGTTAGCCCGCAATGTGGTTTTGCATCACACGCTGAAGGTAATGCATTGGGTTATGAAGACATGAGGAAGAAATTGCAGCTTGTCCGGAGCATCGCGGATGCCGTGTGGCCCGGCGAGCCTTAGACGCTAAGGAGGCGAAAAAGAGGAGTCTAAGACACTTCTGCGGGGGTCTTGACACATGCCTTTAGGGGAAGCAGTGCAGGAGTAGTGATCTCGAATCGAATGCCTAGTTCAACATGGCGTTGGTATGGGTACAGTAGTTCTATCGATTTAGGTGGCGGCAAGCGAGTCAGGTTGGTTGTATTGTGTGGCAACGAGGGAGAGGGACGAAAAGAAAACGAAGATGAAGACGACGACGCCTGTTCAACCATTTTGTCAAGGTCGCTTACTACAACGAATATCATCATGATTGCGGGGCCTGAAATCGGCAACTCGCATAGCCACGTGGTGTGCTGGTGCTCATGCTCAGTTTATTATCAAGTACAGGTCCAGAGAGTCTACAGTGCACGTTGCGGCTAACCCGGCTTTGGTCTTAGTGTCCGTTATCCTTGAACCGTTACTCCACAAGTCCCTCCCGAAGCGGGAGGGTCGTCCGGCAGTCAGGAAATGACCGAGAATAAGGCCGTGTTCCTTACAGGGAAAATGTCATTCGTGAACCAGGGGCGCAGTATCGGCGACAAGCACAAAAGGGAAGGTGTGTTCTTGTCGCGGGGAGCACATGTTCACTGTTTCGTATCGTAAGCGAGCAGCTCTGTTGACAAGACATAGGTTATGCATGGTTGCTACTGTGTAAAGAAATCTCAAAGTGCTTGCAACGCGCAGCGCTTGGCTCTTATGGTGGATCTCTTACCATGCCATTGGGAGCCTTCACTGTATACTGAATCCCTCGGGTATCGTAAGCGGTGGGTGGCGTAGTTCGGACGAAATGCTCCCCTCGCGAACCGTAAATTGCGACCTGCCGTGATCCCTACCAGTACCCGCATGATCTACATACAGGCTTTCTTTGTAGGCATTGTCTTGCTGGCCTAGAAGAGACCAAAAACCGCGACTATTGAGCACCGCTGGGACGGTACAACTATGCGACCAATAATTGGTCTTTCCGCCTACTGCATTCATCGCCTCTGCCGTGTCAATAAGGGGGCACTCGAATGACACCGTTGACACGATTCAGATGATATAAAGTCTTGCGATACTCCATCTTGCACAAGCAAGCAGGCACCTCTCCAGCCTCTGTCATTCTTTTGAAAACTACGCCTCAGCAACTAATAATACCTAATCACTATGCTCTTCCCACGTGTTCTTGGCTCTTTCGCAGCCTTCATTTCGCTCGCCAAGGCTGTCGATCTCACCGGCTATGAATACGTTGTGGTTGGCTCGGGTGCCGGTGGTGGCGTAAGTAGCACATATGAGCTTAGATAATGTGGTCACTGACTTGTTGTAGCCATTGGCTGCCCGTCTAGCCCTCGCTGGCCACAAGACTCTTCTCATCGAGGCTGGTGACGATCAGGGTGCCAACGTCAACTACACTGTGCCAGCTTTCAGTGCCAGATCTTCCGAGGACGCCAACCTCAGCTGGAACTTCTACGTCAAGCACTACGCCGACGAGACGAGGCAGGCTCGCGACTTCAAGACCAGCTATGCAACTCTCGATGGTGGCGAGTACACTGGTCTTAGCCCACCCGAAGGCTCCACCATGAAGGGCACTCTATACCCCCGTACTGGTACCCTCGGAGGCTGCACAGCTCACAATGCTCTCATTGCCGTCTACCCTCACCAGTCTGACTTTGAGAACATCCAGAAGCTCACTGGAGATGACTCTTGGGCACCTTCCAACATGCGCAAGTACTTTGAGAAGTTGGAAAAGAACCAGTATCTTATTCCCGGCACGGGAGCCCATGGCTACAAGGGCTGGCTTAACACCGAGTACGCACCCATCGACATTGTCACCAGCGACCCCAAGCTCCTCAGCCTCGTTGGTGGTGCTGCTTTTGCCCTTGGTAATGCCACCAATGCTATTGTCAACCTTGCCACTCTCATCGCTGGTGACGCCAATGCCGACTCCAAGGAACGCGATGCTGGCCCTGGTCTCTACCAGATCCCCATCTCCACCAACGGTGGTAAGCGTACTGGATCCCGCGAATTCGTCCTGGCTGTTCGCGATGCTAAGAATACAAACGGCACCAAGAGGTACCCTCTCGACGTCAGACTGAACTGCCATGTCACGAAGGTTCTTTTCGACCAGAACGTCTCACCTCCCCGCGCTACTGGTGTTGAGTTCCTCGATGGCCAGTACCTCTACAAGGCCAGCCCCAAGTCATCTGGCGCAACTGGAGTCCCCGGATCCGCAAAGGCCTCTCGCGAAGTCATTCTCGCCGGTGGAACCTACAACTCTCCCCAGCTCCTCAAGCTCAGTGGTGTCGGACCTGCCGACGAGCTGAAGAAGTTCAATATCCCTGTCATTGCCGACCGCCCTGGTGTAGGCACCAACCTTCAGGACCACTACGAGATCAACGTCCAGGGCAAAGCGCCCTCAAACTTCTCAGCGCTCGAAGGCTGCACCTTTGACGGAAGCTCCGCTGACAAGTGTATTGATCGCTGGAACTCCCCCATCCTAGGCAACCGCGGCATCTACGCTTCCCCCGGACTCGGCGCCACCATGCTCTACCAGTCAAGCGTCTCCGATAACAACGACTACGACATTTTCGCCTTTGGCGGCCCCGTCAACTTCCGCGGCTACTTCCCCGGCTATGCCTTCAACGCTACCAGCGAGCACGACTGGTTCACCTGGGCCATCCTCAAGGCGCACCCGCGCAACAACGCCGGAACAGTCACCCTTCGCTCCGCCGATCCCCTCGATGTACCCGATATCACCTACAACTACTTCGATACCGGCGTTGGCGACTACCAAAAGGATCTTACTGCCCTCACCGAAGCCGTAAACCTCGCCCGCGACTCTTTCCGCCGCCAGCTCGTCCCCATCAAGGAAGTCCTCCCCGGCTCTGATGTCAACACCCCCGAGAAGATTGCACAGTACGCCAAGGACACTGCCTGGGGACACCACGCTTCTTCCACTTGCCCCATTGGCGCCGACGACGACAAGATGGCTGTGCTTGACTCCAAGTTCCAGGTTCGTGGTGTTGCGGGTCTGAGGGTCGTGGATGCCAGTGTTTTCCCCAAGATCCCCGGTACCTTCACTGCGGTTTCAACCTACATGGTTGCGGAGAAGGCGGCGGATGATATTCTCAAGGGTCTCCAGTAAGCTTAAGGCATGTTGGCTTTGTTGTTTTCGGTTTTTTTTTGTTGCGCCTTGATGATATCCAGTTACGGTCAATATGAGCGGAACACGAAAATGAAGATTGTAAACTGAAATCATTTTTTTGAGTCTGCTGTGAGGTCTTGATGTGAGACGATACATGTGAAGCATACGTCTACATTGGTATGATGTGTCGTGATCTTAACGTTTGATGTTATTCATGCCTGACTAAGAAAGCGTGGTTAACGTGGATGATGCAAGATCTGACTCGTAACGCCGATGCCCTGAGGTTACACAAACTAGTGGTAAGATTTGACTTCAATCAACTTGGATATTGCACACCTCTCGATTCTTTCATCTACAGAGTTTATATGCACATCGATCCTTATCAAGCATCTAGGCTTTCTTTCTCTTGCCCCTCTCTTCCATCCATCTACTTTGCCTCCAACGCCTCCCTCCGCCCACGACTCCCCAAATCCAAATACGGCGCCTCCCCCAAACTCGCCACACGGTCTCCCGCCCTCGCCTCCACATAGTCGTACGTAGCACAGTGCCAAGTACTCCTATTATCCCAGATAGCAAGATCATTCTTGTTCCACTTGAATCGTACCTGCGCATCGTGGTTTTGCGTGACAAGATTGAAGAGGTAAGGGAGGAGGAGATCTGATTCATCTTTTGTGATGCCGTTGATGCGTTTGGTGAAGCCTTTGTTTACGTAGACGGATTTCCAGCCGGTTACCGCTAGGATTTGCGTTAGCCAATTTTCAAGTGACAAGTCGAATAAAAAACGAAGAGTAGGCGTTTGAGATGGAGTGAGGACTTACGGTTTGTACGAATCACGGGGTGGACGGCTGTAAGTGCATCGCCGTAGTTGAGCGGGTTACCACGAACGCCCTTTCGGAGCGGGTTACCAAGTCTTTCTGCTTCATCGAGGAAGAATTTGGCGTCGTGGGTTGCGGTGAGGCCCTCGAGGAATGTGCGCATGGCTGGGGAGAGGCGGTCGTAAATCTCGTAGCCAGAGGCCCAGAGGGTGTCGCCGCCGGTGGCGGGGAGGGTGTGGATCTTGAGCATGGCGTAGTCGGAGGGTACGGGCTCGAAGGTGATATCGCTGTGCCATCCTGCTGATGCCAAGCGGCTTACGTCTGAGAGTTGGTGGGTGAGGCCGCCGCCCTTCTTTTGCTTTTCACTGCTGATGACGGAAATTTGGTCGCCGAGTTCGGAACCTTCTTCTGTGAGGGGATGGACGTGGAGACCGGATGATGAGGGCTGTTGAAAGATTAGCCTTGGTGATATAGTGGTGTTGATGTTTTGAGACATACACATCCGGAGAGTTCAGTCAATCGCAACATGAGGTCTCGCATCTGATTAGGTGTGACATCTTGATTGCGCAAGAAAACGACTCCGCGCTGAGACACTGTAACATCAAATCAACTACTGCTTCAGTAGAGTCCATGTGCAGTGACTGACCAGTGACGGCTAGGTCTTTGATCACAGCATCGCTTGCCTGAAGCAAGTCGGTCACTTGGAGGCCTTCAAACTCTCGACCAATGACTGGTGTCAAATCTTGGTACTTGTAACTATCCAATGATCCAGAGTACACCAAGGGCTCTAACAGTCTCGACCTGGCGGTGGCGTTTCCGCCAAAGATGCGTGTGCCACCGGCGGCGTATTCATCCTCGGCATTGACGTGTTCTGCAGAAGGCATCCTGGGCGGCTGAGAGGACAATGGATTCGGTCGATAAGCAGGATAAAATGCTGGACACGAGGCTTTCAAACTGGAAAATGCTCCGGACAGTATGTACAATGGACTTCAGCACTGCTCGCTTGGAAGTCTGGGGTATATCAATCTCACCCGAGATCCAGGATAGCCCATCTGCGGTACACGTGGTGTAGCACGTCATCGGGTACGCTGCATGTTACGGGACTAGAGCCGACAGCCATGGCTGCGGGCGAGTTGCACTACCTTTGATGGTAATGCCGGGGTTTTGGCGAAAGACCAATGAAAAGTGCATGCACGTGCCCAAAGCCGTGCGCTCCCCTCTTTCTCCTCCTCTATCGGCGCAATTACTGCCTCGGGAGACAAGTCTTGATGGCGACGAGATGGGCTTGAATTGCGCAATAGCGACGATGATTACATATATAGAGGAAGGGCATGAGCAATACATGTATTAGTGCATCGATTTCCCGTTCTTGGGCCCACTCTTCTTCTAATTGAGCGTTGTGTTGTGGTTAAACACTGCGGTCCTCTCGAAATGGGTCAAGATATTGAGGCTGCGGCCCCGCATACGGCGCGGATTAGCGAAGATGCCAACTCGATGAAATCGCAGGCAAGAGTCGGAAGAGAGGAGCTTGCGGATATCGTTCCTCCTCATGAAAGTTACGAAGGCCGACACCGATTCGATCCTCATGCCAGCTGGACCATTGAGGAAGAACGGCGACTTGTACGCAAAACGGATATTCGGCTACTCTCATGGCTATGTCTCATGATGTTTGGGCTGCAGGTGAGTTTTTGTGGGGTTGAGCCGGAGCGTGGATACTGATCGGTATAGCTTGATCGCGGAAACGTATCAAACGCGCTTGCAGATAATCTCCTGGACGATCTCGGCTTAACCAGCGATGATTACAACAACGGTACAACCATTCAACTGCTTTGTTTCCTTTGTGCGGAATTTCCAGTGCAATTGTGAGTATTAGAGAGGACTGCATTTTGATATCGGTCTGATTGATCCTCTGTTAGTCTCACAAAGCGATATGGCTTCAAATACGTCCTCCCGACCATGATGATGGCCTGGGGAACCGCTTCTTGGGCTCAATCATGGATGCACGACCGTACTTCATTCTACCTTGGTCGAGCTGCCATAGGGCTCTGTGAAGGTGGCTTCATCCCCGGAGTTATCTTGTTCGCGACCTACTTCTACACGTCTAAGGAGCTTTCCATACGCCTTGCAGCTTTCTGGTCCACTCTCAACGTCGCTCGTGTCGCTTCTGCTCTCCTTGCAGCCGGAATTCTGGAGATGCGCGGTGTTGGAGGAAAGCCAGGATGGTTTTGGCTGTTTCTCCTCGAAGGTCTTTTGACCGTCATTATTGCCGGAATTTCATTTCTGTACTTGCCAGCTTCGCCCACATCTACGAACAACGTACTTTTCCCCAAGGGCTGGTATAACGAGCGAGAGGAGGTCATCATGGTGAACCGCATTCTCAGAGACGATCCGGCCAAGGGCCTCACAGCCCTCAAGGAACCCGCCACATTCAAGGATATCCGCGCGGCCTGGTCAGATTCTTCCATGTGGGGTCTGTACTTTATTGGTCTCATTGCCTACATTCCTGCCTCGCCCGTCCAAGGATATCTGACACTTACGCTCAAACGTCTCGGTTTTAGCAGATTCGACAGTAACATGCTTACGATTCCTTCTGCTGCGCTGCAGGTCATTACCATGTTGGCACTTGCATACTCGAGCGAATATTTCAACGAACGCACATTCCACTGCATATTTGGCGAATTTTGGATTATGCCGCTACTCGTTGCCCTTTTGACGCTTCCGGACGGTGGACGCGAGTGGGGTCGCTTTTCGTTGATCACACTGATCTCCGGATATCCATACTTCCACCCCTTAGTCTCATCCTGGATATCGGAAAACACGTTTGACGTGAAAAAGCGCGCAATTACAGCTGCAACATACAACGTCATTGTGCAAATTGGATCTTTGATCAGCTCACAGATTTACCGCAAGTACGATGGCCCGTACTACAAGCAAGGAAACTCGGTGCTGGTAGCCATTTGCGCGCTGAGCGTGGTGACATTCCTCGTGCAAAGAATAGCGTTGACGCGAATGAACAAGAACAAGCAGAAAAAGTGGGATCAAATGACTAGCGAAGAGAAGGCGTTGTACCAGGCGGATCTTGCCGCACGCGAGCTCGATGGGAACAAGCGGTTGGACTTTAGATTCACATTGTAATCCGGATCAAGAAGGTGGACCGGGCCGTGTCGAGGAAGGGTTACTGCTTACGTGTGCGGAGTACTGGGCGACACGGCACATAGCTTGGATTCTGTAACTTGGCGACGGTGTCGCCAATGGAGCCGCAACGTGCTCGTCAGCCGAACCGAGGTTTTTTGCGAATCGCGGGTGTACGTAGCCGCAGGTCGATGTTCGAATTCGAGTGTGGACGCCTTGACACGACTGCCTTCAATCAATTTTTATCGTACAATTTGGTACCCATTTTCCATTCATGCTAACATAATGTATTAGGTCACGTTTTGTGTTGCAATGTGTTACCCTAAATCTCAAGATAGTCGATAACCGATTACATCTTGGTCAACATCTGGTTACACTAATAAAAGTTTATCTCAATGGAGACTGTTAGTCCGACCCACCTCTCCAACCGTACTCCACTTAGCATCATGGCGTTATTGCGGGGATGGATGGCGAAATATCACTACACGTGCCGTTGTCGTCTGGATTTTGAAGAAAAATTCAACAACACTGAATGGCGCCGCGATCTCCCAAAGAAGATAGTGTCTCCGACGCAGAAAGCCTCCTGACACTTTTGGCTGTCGCGAGCGGGTTGTCCCGTTTTGGTCAAGGTGGCACAGCTTTTTACCGTTCAGTCGACTCATCGCTGGAGCGGAGTAGTTACACTCAGCGGCTTGTTGCTTGTGAAGTTTCGCATTCTTTTCAAACTCAAGTCAATATCTATCCAGTCATTATACGTGCCGATTCAATATTTTCAAGATGGCGTGGGAAGAACCTCGTAAGACCGGTATGCAATACCGTCGCCTGGGTAACTCTGGGTTGCACGTCTCAGTACTTGGTCTAGGAGGATGGCTCACGTATGTCGTCCAGTGGCTTTTGCACATATGCCAATGCTGACCGATTTGTAGATTTGGTGGCCACGTTGAAAATGGTTTTTGACCCTGTGCTTATGTCAATTGATCACATGACTAACTCCCGTATCAGAACGCACATTCTCCATCATGAAGACTGCATATGATAACGGCATTAACTTTTTCGACACTGCGGAATCGTACGCCGGAGGCCAATCTGAGATAATCATGGGCCAGGCCATTAAGAAGTTTGGTTGGAACCGTAACGATCTTGTGATTTCCACCAAGCTCAACTGGGGCGGCGCAAACGGAGAAGTCCTTGTAAATAACCATGGTCTTTCTCGTAAGCACATCATTGAGGGACTTCGTGCATCGCTCAAGCGCATGGACTTGGAGTACGTCGATATCGTGTATGCGCATCGTCCTGATCGCCTGACTCCCATGGAAGAAACCGTACGCGCCTTCAACCACGTGATTGAGCAGAAGGGCTGGGCATTGTACTGGGGCACATCCGAATGGTCTGCAGACGAGATTGCTGAGGCTTGCGGTATTGCAAAGCAGCTGGGTCTCATTGCACCAATCGTCGAACAACCACAGTACAATTTGTTGGAGAGGAAGAAGGTCGAGAGCGAATTCCAACGCCTATACTCGCGTTTCGGACTTGGTCTGACTACTTTTTCACCGCTGAAGTTTGGCCTCTTGAGTGGAAAGTACAATGACAGTCCAGATGCGCCTCCAGCAGGCTCAAGATTTGCGGAGGGCAATGATAAGTTCGTTAGTGGAATGCGGGATAGTTATGGAAACAGCGAGTGGAGCAATATGATCAACAGCGCTAAGGCTCTCAAGGTTCGTCTTATAACCGTCATTCTTAGCCGATTTTCACTGCTGACATTCCCACAGCCGGTTGCGGATAGTCTAGGCGTTAGCCAATCGCAGCTATCGCTTGCGTGGTGCTTGAAGAACCCGAACGTTTCTGCAGTCATTACAGGTGCCTCAAGGCCTGAGCAAGTCATCGACAACTGCGCGGCTTTAAAGGTCATTGAAAAGCTCACGCCAGAAGTGATGGAGAAGATTAACGAGATTGTTGGGCACATTAAGCTCGACCCTGCGCGTCAAGATTAGAGTGTCTATTGATGTAGAATAACGAAATCTTGGGAAAAAAAACTTCGGCGAAATTTTTGGAAAAGACATGTAGTCAAATATCACAATGAGAATCTATGAGCTCGAGACGATATCCAAAAGCCAGAACTTTGTACTGACGGTATTCAGTGACTTGATTTAATCTTCATCTGTGTGTATGTGACACAGGTTCTCGGTGATATTGATATTTTGATAAAGTTAAAAGAGCTAAACATCAGATCAGCCCAACGGCCGTCGGGCGGGATAGTGCTCAAAGAGTGAGAGAGGTCATGGCCTCACACGGCCGACAGCTGCCAGGAGAATGGGCTTAGTGCCTGGATAAGAACTCATACTGTTGGACGACAGTTGTTCGATGTCGCCCTTCTCACTGTCGGGCCCGCCTACTGTCGGACCTCGGTGGCCGACGGTGATCTGATGGTGTGGCTAGGGAGCGACACCAATCGTCAGACGTCGCTCGCTAGCCACAGGGCCCACCTGCATCCGACAGCTGCCCGCAACGTGCAAAGCAGGCAGTGACCAGTAAAGGAGCAAAGCCTGCTGAATATTTGACTTGGATGAATCGACCCCAAGCAAATATGCCAAAAACTTGTCATTAGACGTCACAATCTTTCCGATTGCAGCTCTAATTCATTCGCAACCAATTCCAAGTGCCCTGGCTAGCAGTCCTTCTGGGCAGGTCCCTGAAGTCGTCTCGGCCATTTTGACATCAGTAGAAAGTTATTTGACAGTTAGGTAAACATAATAGAGACTACCTGATGCTATTACAGTATAATATTCATCTCTGCATGCAGCCTGAGAGTTTTAGATGCCTTCTTCATCGCTATCTTTATATCTGCGCAGTGAGTATATGTTAGCCGATGAATGGACCGATCCCAGAGTCACACGACACAGTCACTTTCTCCCATGTGCGTTCAGCTCATAAGTTTGGAGTGCGTCTGCTGTCAATGCTACCAATGGTAGTGCGTTCTAGGCGAACTTTAAATCAGCTGTGGCTGCAGTCTGCACCAGTCTCGGCCCTCGCGTTTTCAGCTCATCCATATTATCGAGTCACCGAAGTATTTTCCGTTCCAGGAGATATACCTCACACTCAATGTTTGAAGCTCGATGATAGTATTTCAATGATTGCTTTCTTCGTTCTGTAACCGCGACTGCACAAATGCGTACATGAATTTTCTCATCCCAGCATTACTAGGTGTTTCCATGTATATTCCGAGGAGGGACCTCCAAACACTGAAGATGGGTTTCGAAGCCTTGCTTTTTTCATAGCACGTGGTGAGCTGTGGCTTCTGGTGTCTTGACTAGGTGAAAGGGCAGCCAATCGGTTTTCTCCATCACTTGAGCATATGCATCATGACTGCAGCCGCAGTAGTTCGACAGCCCCAGATACTGAACACTATATATCCGGGCACACTTCACTCGTTGCCGTTGCACCTCAAGCACTTCCCGTATTCAGCCGCTTACAACTCGTACCATGGACGTTGAAGCAATCAATACAAATCTCTTGAGGGCTGTCGAAAAGGGAAATTGGTTTACAGTTCGGGAAGCCATTCACGAGGTTCAAGCCTCAAATGGGATTCACGACTGGTCTTTTTTATCGAAAAATCTGGTGGAACGTGCGTGTGACAGAGGAGATGAAGAGATCATGGGGCTCTTAGTCAGGATGTGCTCCCAGGAGGACTTTACCGATCTCTCAAAACGAACCACGATACTACATCGAGCTGTTCGAAGACGGGGTGGTAGATACGGGATTGTCAGATTGTTGCTTGATTCTGCGTTGTCTGAGCGGTCAGAGTCAGTGAAAGAATATGTCAATATTCAGGATCACGAAGGGAAAACGGCACTTCACCACGTCGCTGTAAGTGGTGACTCTTACATGCTTGATATTCTCTGTAAAGCAGGTGCAGATGTCAATATCCGAGACGAAAGGAACCTGTTACCTGCACATATCGCTTGCATAGCAGGCGAATATGAGATGATGCGACGGCTGTTTGGAAAAGATCGAATGAGTATAACCCAAGTCATGCATCATGAAGAGGTTGCTGGATCGGCCCCTATCCATCTGGTCGCGGAGAGGAACTGTTGGAAAGAACTTGTCTATCTCATGGATCTATTTCAAAAAGAAAATATTCAGGCAAAAGACATAAATTACGAACTTGCATGGTATAAAGCATGTAGAGGCACCAGTCGCTTGTATTCGACACCTGCGTACAGTGGAATGGCTCAAGGGTTTCCCAACAGTCTGGAAGCGGCTATTGTACTCATTTACAACGAATACAGGCGTCCCCTGACCTACGATCAACCCGATTGGAAAGAATACTCTTTTCCTGGAATAACCTGCTATTCCTTTCAAATAAATCATGTCAGTGGATACAATAACTGCAAGATAATACATAAGTACTGACGATAGGTAGTTTAGAGGAATATATGTAAGGTCGGCGATGAGAACGGACGATTTCAAGATAACACTAATAAACGCAGGCTTTATTCGGAAAACTTCTGATTGAAGGTCGTATCAAAACTCAGGATATGAACAGATTCATAGCAGGCTTTCAGTATGAACAGCATATCAGGGATCCAAATGACCAGGGTCCTGTCGTCCTCAAGCTTCGAGAGCCTTCTTGTACTGTAACCCATGGCGGAGGTTTTAAATCTTTCACAATTGCAGTATGACCACCCCAGTTGCTTTCAGCTGGTATGCTAACCTAGGAAGATGCCGTACTTCAAAGTACTTACAGAAGATTCAATCGCGAAATGGAGAGATCCGAAACTAGTAAATGCAAGCCTACGCCCTTTTACACCACTGCAATCAAACTGTCCTAGCTGGTCACTCGAATCCCTCAAAGCACCATATCTACCACTGACTCTCGACGAGTACTGCTGCTCTACGTTGCCAAAATCGATGTTGGACCGCCGGAATCGAGACCAAGTGCTCTACAAGGCCAAAAATACAAACTCAAATTCCAAGGAGCTTGTTACAATATGTCAACTGTGGATTTTGCAATGTGAAGATGGACTCATAACTGCACACGAAACGGATGAAGAACTCAATACCAATGGTTCCAAGTCCGATTTCCCCTCGTGGGGAGACGACTGCCTGACCGGGGATGCTAAGCGGTATATCGGCATCATGATGTCTCATTTCGTGGACAGCCTTGACCGTCCATCTGAAACAGGCTCAGGCAATCGTATTCTCAACACCTTTGAGAATTCGATTGCTTCATGTGCTCATGATGTGGATGAATACAGCAGAGGAGAGGTTGTGAAGAAGTTCGACATCGACAAAGAAAGGGAATTTCTACACAACATTGATGATATACGAGGCGAGTTGGGGATGATTAAACGAGCCATTCTGCAGCAAGAGGAGGTCTGGAAAACTTTCGCAAGCAATGCCTGGCCAGAACACTGGACAACCGGCGCAGAAGGGCGACTGATCGTGAAAGACGATGAGCAGAGATCTACTGCAGAAGAAAATGAATGGCAGATTATTTTACGCGCGCAATTTCAGTTCGATCGATTTCGACGGCGAATCGCGCAATTAGACGAAGACGCCGCCCGTGTTGAAAAATCTATAATGGCTAAACTGGACCTGAAGCAGAAACACGCAAGCCTCCAAGAGTCACATGCAACAGGCGTCATGAGCGCAGCCGTTCTCGGCTTCACGCTCATAACCATCATCTTCACCCCCTTGTCCTTCCTCACCAGCTTGTTTGCGCTGTCCATCGACAGTTTTCAGAGAAATCAAATCGATTTCTTCATACCCAATCGCGAAAACGAAGCTGACCTTACCAATCGAACCCGAGTTTATACGGCAAACTACATTGGGAAATGGGCTGGTGAGTGTTTTCCACATCTTCTTTCACAGTCAAATTGACATAAACAGCTACCACAGTACTTGCATCTACCGCTGTTGCCCTGCTATCTATGTGGCTCGTCATCGAATATGGCATGGATGTGCCCGTGTTGCGACATAGGCTGGCACAGTTGGTCAAATTGTCAAGACGGATGTTGGGTTTGCCAAAGCTGATATGGGAATCTCAGTATTTGAAGAAAGTGAGCGAACAGGTCAAACTGAAAGTGTTCAGAGAAAAGGGGGGCTGTTTACCTAGTTTTGGTGGTGCACAGCGTACAATCTGGTACACCCGTTTAAAGTTATGGTGGCGGCGTCGATCACCGTAGTGCAAGTGTTATAAAAACAATTGGTTTGATTATAAGCACTTGCCAAAATATCTTAGTATCTGATATCTCCTCAACTTGGAAATCTCTGCTCTCTCTCAATATTCGATAGTGGACGACTTACGCACACAGGCTATCTGCCTTGGTCGACACATTCTCCCTTCACTCTTCGGATCTGCTGTAGAACTGGATCATGGATATGTATTAAAAACGGACAATACACGCAGCCGCAATCAGAATCAGCTATCCAAATTAACTAGACTCTCCACACCAATTCTTAGATAACTAGCCACTTCCTGCATAAGGTCATCTTCCACAGCGCCATCTGGCCAAGAAAAGTTGAGAGTCGCGTTCCCATCACCGCCAGTCACAACACTAAGCGCGAACGCGCTCGCCACTACATTAGGAAACTGACTGAAAACCATCCTACCAACACTCCACGTACTCTTCTCATCCTCCCCGTTCGGCCAAACTCCCACATTGGACAACTCTGCAGTGGGTTTGCGCGGCTTACCCAGCATGCCGAGGAGAAACTGTGGCATGGAGGACACGTATCTGAGAAGCGCAACCGGGTTGTCAGTCCCGGATTTTGCTACTTCAGCAGCAATGGTAGATTTGACCGCTCTAGATGTTTCCCAGGAGAAGTTTTGGAGGATATCGGTTGTGGGACCGTTGGACGAAGAAGGCCGATTGTGGAAGAATTCGTATTGTGTGATTGCGGATGTCATTTGTTTCTCTCCGATGTTGAGAAACCTTCTCGCTGATATCGGGCCATCGATTCTTAATTTCTTGCATTCTTCGGCTGGGAGATTGGCGAAGAGTGAGGCGGCTAGGAGACATTGCAAGGTCGCTGTCACGCTAGTTTTCTCTTCTCGGCATACTTGAACTAGCTTGCTTGTAGTTACCTTGGATAACACAACGGTGAGAAATCGTGGTTTCGGAAGTACTGTGATATCTTCTGGGACCGGATTGCCTGTCCACAATTTTTCAGAGGCAATGGCGTAGACCGGGGCCAGTAAAGTGTTCAGAATGGTCTTGCTGAAGAAATACCATGATATAGACATAGGGTGTAGCTCCTCAAATGGCGGTACTAGGGCTTGATGAGGCGTTTCGATAACCGGATCCACGTTTGCTATTTGAACAGAGTTCAGACCTGTAAGGAAAGACTCGTGGAACAAAAGTGCCGAGGTGCCGTCCGCTAATGCGTGATGCCACATCCATGTCGCAGTGAATCTAGATGTATCGGATGATGATCTGGTCACGAGCAAACGCCAAAAAGGTCTACTTCCCAGGCTTTCCTTGAAATCGCGGCTGTGCTGTTGTGCTAGCAGTTCGTCAAGCTCTTTGTCAGCTTCTCCGTCTACAGGACATGGGCTCTTGCGATTGTAAAATTCTGTACATGTGCGTAGATCAATTTCGGGTAACCGTGCGAAGTATACGTCTGGGTAGGATTGGTCTTCGTTGAGAGCAATAGCGCTTAGGACGGGGTGTTGAGCAATGACATGGCGTAGCGCGACGTAGACCTGGCTTTCAAGCGGGGTTTTCAAATTTCCTTGAGTTTTGTATTCTGAAGTGAAGCCCACATTTTTGTAGAAGCCCAGGTGATGTCGTGCTGTACTGAACGTCTCCAGTCTGCCGCATGGGCGTAATTTTTCGAGGCTCTCCGGATCCGGCATTGCAGTATTCGCGTAGATTTTCCCCCGACTGCAGCTTTAGCTGCATATAAAACCACTCAGAACTTCTCCTGCAGAGAAACGCAATCTCGATACATGTCAGTGCCTCTGCTGCTATTTGTCCAATCTATGCCAAGATAAAAGGGATATCTACTTTGGATTAGCGCTGCTACTGTGTGATGAACATTGTAATGTCCCTCAACATAATTCGAACAATAAGATCAACGGGAACAATGAGAACTTTCGGAACAATAAGAAAGATCAGGGGTTGAGACACATATCAGGCGAGTGGAACCAAGGGAGGCTTACCTTTAGGTAAGAGTAGGAGAGGGAGTTTACTATGGCTTCAGCTTCCTCAGCCTCAATAAAAATAGTCGGTTTTTCCCTTCGGATTGCCGAGGAACAACGAATTGTACCAACGCTCTTAATTTGCAACGTTCATCATGGAGTAAAAGGTGGTTGCCTAATGGCATCCCAATCAGTTCATGTTAGAATCCTCATCCCATTTAGGCATAGTGTTCTGATACTTGACTCATGCCAATCAATAGTCACGTGATGCTAACTCAGGTGCCAAAAAATTATCAAAACCTACAACAACGGGGATTCGCCAGTGGTCACCCACCTGACTACTAGTCCGCCGGTCAAAGACTTAACGTGTGGAGAGCGAACGGGATCCAGTGCTCAATTTTGCCGATGGTCGTATGTGCCATAAAATGAGAATTTAGATGATTAACGTAGTTTACAAGCGAGTGACGCGTACAAGCGAGTGACGCACCCCACCAACTTTGCGCACCTCTCATCTCTTCACATACAATGGCTCGACACCAAATTACTCAATCACATTCAAAAGAAGCAGATATTCAGCTTGCTATCTCGT